TTCTGTGCAATGTAGAGCATCTGAAACCCATGGAAGGCTTGCTATGAGTCAGTTCCAACTCAATGGCAATGAGTTTTAACAGAGTAAAAGATGAGACAATACAAATTCTCAGGCTGGTAGTCAAATGAAGGATTTTCGCTTAACACAAGGAAAAAATGGCTTCTATGTCATATAGAAACAAATCCTAAAGTATGAAATCTTAAGCTTGTTTCTGGTGACATATTTTAATGACACAAAGGGAAAAATGGCTTAGTACAAAAAAAGTTTAGAATTCTTTGCAAAAAAGTTGTATGGTGAGTTGAGAGTGCATCTTAAATATGCAAACTTTTTATAATCTTTAACTTACTTTCAATTACTAAGCAAAACTTATTGCACAATAACGTGACTTCAGATAATATTACCATACAGAATTTTTTTATAGGAAACAACAAATAAGAACTAACCAAAAAAGCATGAAAAATAGAGGTTCATTATATAAAAAATTATAATTTCCCCCATTACTGACAGAATAGAAGCAGCTTAAAATATAGGACATATAAACAATTATTTAAGATATACATATGTACAATATAAAGGTTTATAACATAGTAAATTTGTATCACTCAGTGTCACAAAGAATTAAGTATGGGCTGAACACAAAGAACAATAATAATGCCAACCATTCAATATATTAACACTACAAAAAAAGAAAATGCTGTTTTCTCTAAATATATCTTGACTACACATAATAAAATGTATAGTAATGGAACAGTCTTAAACCAGAACTCATTATGTAATATGAATGCTTACCTTTACAGTGTAAATGCCCTAACATATTATTTACATTATCCTATCCCTAAAGTAGATTACCTATTTGCTTTAGGTCTCTCACAGAGTCCATTCATCTTATTACTGTAAATCACCAATGTTTACTATTTACTTATACAGAGTACATACACATACACAGAGATACAAACTATGGTAGCTTAGTGGTAAGGAGTTGCACTGCCACACCAAAGGCACACAGTTCAAATCCAGCTGCTCCACAGAAGAATGGACAATCTCCTCCTGTATATTTTTCTGCATCCGAAAACCTGGTGGAAGGTCAGTTGAGTTGGATCTGACTTAATGTTACTTAACAACAATCCCTAAGGTATAACATATGGACAAAATATTAAATGATGCAGGAAGCATCAAAAGAAATCAGGAGGAATAGAGAGCTACTTTTTTACCACAAAGAACTGGTCATGACTACAACATTTCAGGAAGTAGAATATGATAAAAAAACTAATGTACTGAAAAAAGTCCAAGCTGCACTTAAGGAAATGACAAAGAATAAGGCTTCAGGAATTGATGGGAAAGCAATTGAGATGTTTTGGCAAACAGAAGCAACCTTGAACATTCTCTCTAGTCTATGACAAGAAATGTGGAAGATGGCTGATTAGCCAATTGAGAGGAGGAGATCCCCATTTGTTCTAATTTTTTAAAAAACAAAACAAAACAAACCCAGATGGTGATACAACAGAATGGAAATTTTAAGATAGCATCAGTAATATAAACACAAGTAAAAACTTGCTGTAGATTATTTAAAAATGATGGGAACAGAACATTTACAGAGAACTGCCAGAAATAGGCTGTGGAACATGGGATACTACTGCTTGGTGTCACATAGGTCTTGACTGGAAGCAGAGTACCAAAAAAAAAAAGTTTGCTTTGTTTCATGGACCATGAAAATGCATTTGATTATGTGAATCACAACAAATTTCTAATACTGAAAAGAATGGGGATCTCAGAACACTTAACTGTGCTCATATGAAACCTAGACCTAAACCAAGCAACAGCTGAACAGAAGGGACACTGCATGGTTTAAAATCAGGAAAGGTATATGTTGTATTCTTTCTCTATACTTATTCAATCATTATGCTGAATTAATATATGCTGGAATCTATGTGGCATCAGTATTTGACAATCTGCATTATACAGCTGACAAAACTGTGCTTGTAGAGAGTAATGATGACCTGAAACACTTACTGAGGAAGATTAAAGAATTTACCCTTCATTACAGGTTTTGTATCTCCCATTAAAAAAAAAAATCCTCACCACTGGACAAAATAATTGTGCAACTGTTGGAGGAAAGATTTAAGTTGTCAATTCATTTTACTTGGACCCAAAAATCAATATCCGTCATAGCATCAGTCAAGAAACCAAAAGATGTGCTACACCGGCCTGTAAAGGATCTCTTTAAAGTGTTGGAAAGCAGGGATATCAGTTTAAAGACTAAGTTGCAACAATTCCAAGTCATGGTATATTCATTCAGTTGCTTTGAATGTATCTGAAAATTGGAAAATAAGTAAGAAAGAGAGATAAAAATTTGACACTTTTGAATTGTGGTGTTCAAGAAGAGTACTAAATAAAGGCTGCCAAAAGAACAAACAAATCTGTCTTGGATGCAAGGATAGTGAAACTTCATCTGACATATTAGGGGCGTGTTGTTCTTGGATGCAAGGGTAGTGAAACTTCATCTGACATATTAGGGGCGTGTTGTTAGGAAGAGCCAGGCCTTAGAAATAGACATAACGCCGGAAAAAGGTAGAGAATAAGCAAAAAAGAGGAAGACCCTTAACGAGATGGATTGATAGTAACCGCTATAATGCTCAGTGGACATCATTAAAATGGCAGAGGATAGGGCACTTTCAAGTTTTCGTTCATAAGGTTGCTATAAGTGGCTGTCAACTTAAAAACACTTAGCAACATCAATAATATCCTTCACCTGTTTCTAGAAATATGTCAAAGTAGGAGCTGAAACACTGTTTTTAATTGTAGCCAACTCCAACTGTATCTTCCTCAATAAAGCATTTATGTTTCTAATACCAGCTTTAATTACATTAGAAGAAATTAAGAGTAAATGATTAGAAAATAACTTTGATTAGGTCTTTTGGCCTGCATTAGCTTCATGACTTTTTAAGGTTTTGTTAGGAAGGTTAAAAAAAGAAAATATAGGGGAGCTCTGGTGGCCTAGTGGCAAGAAGCTGCAGCTACAATCCCAGAGGTGCATGGTTCGAATCCACCAGGTGCTCTGCCAGGGAAGGAGAGACAATCTCCTCCTGTACCAGTCAGATCTGATTTGATGGTACACACACACAAAAATAATAATAATAATAATAAAAAAATATATATAGCTTACCAACTTGTTCATAACGAATTATACGGAAAATTTGAAGTTTATATTAGAAATTAAAACTTTTTTAATAATCCTTACTTTTAATAACCCTCAAAAATTTATTACAAAATAAAGGTATCTAATATTCTTAAAAAATATGACGCTTAATTTTAATTTGCAAAGCCTTTTTACTAAGTGTAGTTGGAAAAAAAATCAAATGTAATATAAAAATTTTTTTAAAGTACACTAGGATTATGTTGTTTTCTTTCTTTTGTATTTAGTTATATAGCACCTATACAAAACTATGCTTTTTTCTGATTATTTTTGGGGAAGGAGAAAATTTGACAGATTATATTACATTGTGTATCAACAAAAATGTTAAAAATAAAACACAGTATTTTTCAAATTACCACCTTCATGATTGACTTAGTAAAAAATTGTGACTTTATTTTATATTTGCTAATATATTAGGGTTTTTTCCCCACTTACTTGGATACAATTATTTGATATTGTGATCATGTTAGAATTAGGAATTCTTTGACTTTTGTTTTTAGTAGCATTAATAAAAATAAAAGAAATATAAATATTTAATGAAAGAGGTTTTAAAGTGAATGTAAGAATGAAAAAGGCTTTGTACAAAAGCATATAAACAGTAGCAACCTGTGTGTTGAGATTAGTTTGATTTTTTAAAAACTTTACTACTATTATATAGACAGTATTTACATATCTCTTGAGAACAAAGAAAATAAATGTGTAATAGTGCTACCTTACCTGTTACATAAACACCTTGATAATAATTGTGAAATATGTAAACTTACCTACTATGTGGGAATGTACAATTCAGATACTTAAAATCATTGTGCAACTGACATAATCTAACTTAATACTACATATAGTATATACAAAGTAAAAAATAAAAAAAATTTTACAATTAAAGTCAATGTTTTAAAGAAGACTCACTTTCTTAGAAGTATTTTTCAGTCTATATTATGCCCATAGATTTCAGAGGATTTGTGCAATTCTAGTTCTTACATAATAATACTATTGGGTACAGATCAAATGTAGTGAGGGTTATTTTAATATAAATCATTAATACCTGAACATTTAACAACCAACTTGTGTCATCCTCGAATGCATAGATAACATAATTTAAACGATTAAATTTTCTATTTAACGCCTTATGGAAAATAAGAATTAATTTAAAAATTGCTCAAAACTAGAAAAATTGTTATGCTATTTTATAGATAACAATTTATAACAATGAATAAAGCAGGTGTTTTCAGAGTCTATTATAGGTGTACCTTGGAGACAGTGAAGTTTCCACTTCAGGCCATAGTAATAAAGTGAATATTGCAATAAAGCGAGTGACATGATTATATAGGGAATTATATAAAATAATTTACATTGTTACACTATATAAACAAAAGTATAAATATGTTTACAATATATTGTAGTCTAAATGTCTAACAGCATCATGAAAAATTTGAAATATTAGAAGAATTACCAAAACGTAATAATGGCATAAATAGATTTGGCTAATGCAAGGTTATCACAAATTTTCAAGATGCATAAAATGCAGTATCTGCAAAGCGCAATAAATGAAGCAAAATAAAGCAAGATGCCCGCATGCTATTAACCTGATGAGTGTGTACAGCCATTCTAAGATTATTTATATAGACGTTTACAAAACATGGACATTAACAAAATAGAAAAATATACTCAATTTTTAAATAGTAGATCTTAACAACTAACCCCTTAAAACACCAAAAACTAATTTCATTTTAAATGGCTATGACATTCCTTTGTGTTCAGATAAATTTTATTAGCCCAAGCTTTACGTTGAAAGGTGATCTGAAATGAAAATAGCAGCTTTCAAGGAAGCATTGCTCTGGGAAAAGAAGTATTTGAAAGTCCAGTGTAATCAGAACTTTCATCATTTTGTAATCTTAAGGTTTTTCTTATTGCAAAATCCATATTATCTTGAAATTCTTCATATGTACTGGTTATCGGAAGAGCCAAACAATTGTTACACTTATTTCCAATAGGAAAATCCATATGCAGGCACTCAATTGAAGGGTTTGGTTTAAATCCAATAGGTGGAATGGAACTACAGCCAGTTGCAAACACAAGAAGGTCTTCCATTGTTGTTGAGGATTTACCACCTGAAGTGTTGACCAAAACAAGAGAAAAATAAACTCATGTTGTATTTGCTACCCTCATACACTTCCTCAAATACACTGGCAATTTTGGAAAACAAGGGACTTCCACACTCACCTTTGGTAAACTAAATAAGTACAGTAATAGGGAAATGGTAGGTCTGATAAATGTTTATTTGAATCTTAAATGGGAGTGTCTTTAATTTATTAACCCCAACTATTTCCTATTTATGTGACTATCTCATCTAATATAAAATTAGCATCTAGTAGGCAAAACAGCAACAAAGATCTATGTCTATCTCCCACCGCACTCCAGCCAGGACAGACTGTTGTGGTGAGAGTGGCCAGCACCAGGGTGCAGGACCTGATTGGGCTCATCTGCTGGCAATATACAAGCGAAAGCCAAAATCCAATTAAGTTCTCTTTTTCATTCCTCTCTAGTTCCTGATTACACCTGGCTACTTAGGGTAGATTCTGTGTTGTGTCAGGTTTTTTTAGGAACAAATGTGCCTGCAAAATAAACTGTTAGATTGTGAATGCAAATATAAGGAAATTAATTTCAACAATTTCTAAACCTTTTTTTAGATACCAGAGAAGAAAGATGTAGCAGTCTGCATCCATAAAGATTTGCAGTTCTCTTTTGTCATTCAGGGTTATATGGGTCCTAATCAACTTGGGAACAGTGAGGGTTTTATTATGTTACTTGCTGATGGGAGGAAATAAGAGGGAAGCTCTGTAGGCTTAGTAGGTAAGAAGTTAAAACGACAACCCAAAGACAGGTAGTTGGAATCCACCAACTGCTCTAGGGAAGAAGACTGGAAAACTTCTCCCATGCAGTTTACAGCCTCTTAAAGGTGACAGGATCAGATGTGAGTTGATTTGTATTAACAGCCATGATTAAGTAAGGGAGTGGATATTTGCATTACACCTAAATGAAGGTAAGGAGCCCCAGAGACAAAGTTTCTGCTGTGTTGGACTGCTAACCAAGGTCAGAAGTTTGACTCTACCAGCTACTCTGAGAGCAAGACCAGGCAATTCAGTTCTGGTTAAGATTTACAGCCTCAGAAACTCAACGGAGAGTCATCATGAGTGAGAATCAATGTGATAGCAGTTGTTTGGTGTAAGTTGAGACTCAAACACAAAGACGCTGTGCTGGTCATTTGCTTGGTTCTCCTAGCTCCATGTTGAAGTATATATTAAGATCTTCATTCTATAGACAAGAATGTTGCACCTACTGTAATAAGTGATTGAAGTAACATGGCAGAGAAAGCATTGGTGATGATGGTCTAGGAATTGAGATATTTGAGTGTTGGTCAAATTATGGATTTGGCAAACTGTTGCTAGGTCTTCTAACCCATTTGGCTCTCCTGCAGAGAATTTCTTGTTTTACATTTATTTTTCCAATAATAGGAGCTCTAGTGACCTAGTGTATAAAGAGTTGCACTGGCAACTCAAAGAATTCGAACCCACCAAGCTGCTCTATAGAAGAAAGATGAGCAGTCTTCTCCTGTGCCATTTTACAGCCTGAGAAAACCCTCTGGAGGTTTGGCTATGTGTTGCTTCCTACCCAACAACAATGGGTTTGTTTGTTTCATTTCTATCTAGTAAAAGGTTTGGAATATAGTAGAGTATGATGGATGTCTTCATCATGAAACTGGATTCTCACAAAGACATCTTCTTCTTACTATTTTTAGTTCAAATGGTCTTGTCCAACCTTTTCAGTTGAGGGTTGGGTATGGACTGATTATTTTTTATTCATTTGCAAATAATCAGTGGTGCTAATCGTTTGGGATGAACATTCTTCTAAATGGTACAGCACTGATCTGTTAATTTGTTGTACTAAGGAATCCTGAAGTTGCTGTGATACTGAATGCGGTGCCACTCACTGGTGTGTCAAATGCCATAATGGTTATCCATGGTGGAGCTCCCAGATTAAGACCGACTTAGAAGCAGGAGTGGCATGAACTTCCTAAACAACATGCCCCTGGAAACTCTATGAACTTTAAGAAACGACAATAGTTATAGAACAGGGTTCAGATCTCTTCATACAGTCGTTTAGAGTCGTGCTCGACTTGACGGCACTTAACAACAAGTCCAGGAGCTACCGTAGGCTTTTAAAACATCACCTTTTGGGAATAAAATATTTAAAATTTTAAGTCCGTTTCAGATCATCATTATTTGATAACTTTTGCAATGTTAGGAAAACAACAAATGGTGTTAAAGGTTCTAAAAAAAAAAAGCCCACCTAGCTAAGCAAAATTTCAATTAAAAGTTAAATTTCTCACACTATTAATCAGCATTTTTATATCATATTACAATAGTCAGAACTAATACATGAAAATTAATTCAACTTAAAATTGAGAAAAACAAAAAATGTTAGATCTAAGACAATCTAATGCTATGTTAACAATTTCTCAAAAAAATACAAAACGTTTGGCAGATTAAAGTTTTAATAAGAAAGACTAAATCCAAAGAAATAAATACATGAATCATTCAGACAGTTAAAGAAATAAAATATGCACATACCCTCAATACTCTGTAAGTAAGTGTTCCAAAATCCTAAAGCTTGTACATCAGATAATGTATGAACTGTAAAAAGATCACTAAGGACTTTTGCAGAAAGAGTCTCAGGTTTATGACAGAGGATGCTACAAAATGCTTCTGGGTAAGTTTGAATTTTCTCCAATACACCAAGTGTTTTCAGACCCTGCTTAAAACTTAAGAGAAGAAAAGTAACGTGATAACAGTATTTGGTATTACAATGGGGAAATATCATTCCTAGTTTATTTAACTGGTATTTTTCTTTTTCAAAGAAGTTAATGGCTTAAAAAAATAAAAAAACCCAAAGTGTAAGTAATTTAGTTATTTTTTAAAATGTAGAAATCTGTGATGTAATACTTTCAAATCTATAATGAGCAAATACATTAATATATCTTGATTGTCCTGCTTATATTATAAAATTATATAAAGTAGTTTTAAAATTAAGCAAGTAAGTTTTTACCGAGAGAGAAGAAATAGACATTCAAAATATTTTACACTCCAGTCCTTGTTGCTAGGAGCCAACAAACTGGTGTCCTACACTGTATATAACAAACAAAATGCTGTGACCTGTGTTATCCTCACAATCTCTATGCTTAAACCCACTGTGAGATTGTTTCCCAAGAGATAACTTAAGGAATAATGATGACTCTTAGATACATAAAAATCTAAAATATGTATATGTATATGTATATGTATATGTATATGTATTGCTAATAGAAATGAACAAAGTTAAATGGGGATATTCATCACGTATATTTAAAAACTCCTAACAGGAAAACAATGTAATAAGTATAAATCATTTTCCTAAAAGATCAACAATCCAATTTAAAAAGTGAACACAAACCATAATGCATAATTTAGATAAAAATATAAGTAACAAATTAACCTATAGATTCATGGTCTCACAAATAAATAAGGGCAGAGGTACTATTCTTTTTTTAAAAGAAAAAAATCCAAGGATATGAAATACTAACTATTCTTCTCTAACTTAAGTCATAGCTGTATCTGTATCTTCCTATCTATCTCAAGTGCAGTGATTAATAAATTCCCTTTGTCAACTTTCGCAATAGCACCTACACATGCTTATTTATTTCTCTCATCTTTGAATAAGAAAAAGAAATATTTTACCTGTTTGCTTTTCTTGACTACCTACTGCAGTCTGTCTATATTCACTGTCTCAACTCAACTCACAATATAGAGTCATTTTGACCCATAGACCTCCACTGTGTTTTCAAGGCTATACATTATATCAACAAGAGACAGCCCATCTTTCTCCCACAGCTGATGGAAGGATTTGAAACTGGGATACACACAGAATGCAGTAGCAGAGTTCCCTTCATTCATTGCCTCTATTTCCTAACTTTCATAGAGTAGTGGGTTCGGAGTTGTTCTGTCAAACTGAAGACAAGGTTGTTCAAATCTAACAGCTGCTCTGTGAGAGAAACATGAGCAATTTCCTCCCATTCAATTTATAGCATCTGAAAACCTGCTGAAACCAATGTCCATGATAATTTTTCAATTTAGAATTACAATTTTATTAAAGTCACATTTTATGTTTTGCTTTCCTGGTTCATTCTGCTTATTCTATTATTTAAAGTCTTGATGATTTATTCTTCTCAGTTCTTGCTTTCTTAGTTAGCGCTCTTGTGCTTTGTCATTTTTAGAGGAACTTATTTTCAGTCAGGATATTTAGCATTCCTGTTAAGTCTCAAGTTAAGGAAATTTTGCTATAGAGCAGCTATGTATTTGTTTTTATGCCTGGTACTCTACTAATGTTTTCAGTTTAAAACCAATATATTTGTTAGATTTTTTGGTTTGGATTGCAGTCCATACATGAATCCAAACACAAGCATGAGAAAAGCTAAGGGTTTTGATTTTACATGACGAAGCCCTTTGGCTTTTTGTGTCCTTTTTATTTCTGGCATCTAACAAACACAAATAGTTATTTTAAAAGATTATTATTTTTCTATATAGTTGATTTTTTTTTTAAATGTGTTCACACAGAGGATGACCTACTTTGCCATAACAGAAATACCACAGGTGGATGACTTTAAGAAACAGCAATTTATTCCCTCAGTTTGAAAACACACCTTCTCCGTCTCACTGCAGAGTCAGAACCAATGGGTTTTTAGAGGCTATAAATTGCATAGGAGGAGCTCTTTTTCCAGAGGACAGCTAGATTTGATATGCTAAACCATTAGTTAAGCAACACAAGCCCTGTGAAGTCAGCCACCATATTTGAAGTAAGTTGAAAGTACAAATTCCAGGTCCTGGCTATGTATTGCCTTTGGCAAAAAGTTCTTGTCTCTTTTTAGCGTGGGTGCTTAGTGTTTCTTGGAGATCTTCATGCATCTTGGCATCAGTTGTCCCAAGGGTTTAGGTGTTTCTGGCCACAGAGACACTCAGTTCAAAGTACAAACTGTCCCTCTGCTGGCTATTCTCTTTTTATCTATTTTAAGAAAAAAGGCGATAGAAGCCACACTCTCCAGTGATAATTTTCTTCTATCAAATCAGGGCCAGAATCTAAGTAAAGGTGTTACATTCTACCATAATCTTTGTACAGATGAATGGCAGATCACATCATGAGAAATGATTACATTATTATGTATCTGTCAAATACTCACTAAATAGCAGTAAAACCATGGAGAATCACCGACTAACCAAGGTGACACATATTTTAGGCCGAAACAATTTAATCCATGACATAGAGATTGTTCTTTAGTGGCTTTACTCTTGCTTTCTTCATCATAATCTATCTAATTCCTATTTCTAATTCTGGTTTTAATTCATACATTCCTGTAACAAAGGTCTCCCTGACTTATAGACTACTCATATCTTTAAACACAAAACAGGAACAAATAATAAGTTTTCTTTCTTTGCAATAAAAAAATTGCATCTGTAGGTAGTAAAGGAACTCTGTACTTCTCACTGAGATTTTAAATAAAACTATTTTAAATAAAACTTTAATATATCAAAATTTATGTTTGGATTGTTTCATATACTGATGATAAATTATAATGGTAATTCCAACCAAAAGAAACTTAGTTATATTTTATAGTAGGAGACATATAGACACAGTTATAAGTTATATAATCATGTCGCTTTTAAGTTACAATACACTGAAAATTGTATCCCTTGCAACTTATATTTCTTCATCTTTATCTACTTCATAAAAGCTTAAATCATAAGCTTATTTCAGTTTATTATGATATTCCTATATATCATTTAGAAGCTTCCAGGGAAATATCTCAGATGTCCATTACAGAAAACTGGTTGAATAAACAATGCTATATCAAGTAATAGGGTTCTGTACCTCTCTAAAAAGGAATATTTAATACTATGGAATGAACTTTCAGATGTAATGTCAAGTAAAAAGAAAAAATTATAAAGTGAGCACTATTTTCCGTTTATTTAATGAAACAAACCCTATAATAAATGCAAAAGTTATTTCATTAGGGATAGAAGATAGAAAAGAAGATTCATATTTCTTGGAAATATTTTTTTTTCACACAGCTTAATGCTTTCAATACATATTATAGATTTTATTTTGGAAACAGAGAGACATGCAATTTAAAAATAATATAAAATTTTAATAAAACAAATTGCTAAAATTAGAACAAAACTAAGATTTATTCTAGATAACTTTAATACAGTCTGCTTTCATACATTTTTACAGTTCCCATTAACCACCCCTACCTTGTTTATAAAAGTAGTTGTTTGCTACTTAACAACCTAACAATAAAGAACTCAATAAATAGGTATAAAGTGGAGATGAAAACAAAGAGTTAGCTCATGAGGTAAGAATTTTTAAACAAACACTTTTATTTAGAAAATACTTATAAACTGAAAAAAAGAAACCAAAGCTAAAAAACATTACTTTCCCAGCTTTATACAATTCTGCATAGTAAGGGAAATATAATGCATAAGAATTTAAAACATTGGTTTTAAAATAGTATTTACATTTTTCCTCGAACATTTACATGTACTACAAGATAGTACATATTAAAAGACAACTAACCACCTTAAGCATGTAATTTGAGAAACTCACGTGTAAACAACTTACCTTTCAAAGGGTGCTTGGACTCTCTTAATGACATGGTAGAAAAGTATGTTATTTACCAAATTATATTTATCATTTAATGTTGTTATAAGTTGTAGACAACCAATAAGCTCTAGGTAGTTATAGCATTCATTTACTGCTGAGTTTAAATCAGTCATATTACTGGCAGTTTTTATCTATAAAGAAAAGGAAAATATAGCTACTTTACTTATGACTAGTGAGAAATAATTACATCTTAAATGATGCATTACTTTATAGTCCATTCTAGAGTAAATCAGAGTGGAATGGAAAGTACAGCAAGAAATATTTTTTTTTCTAGAATAATATGTGAAAATTCAGTTCAATAAATATTGCATACATCTAAAATACTACTGCATATATATGCCTTCAAAAAACCTATAGTGTAATGTATATATTCTACTTTAACAAAAGAGATTATATAAAAGAATATAATCAATACAATGAAGTCAAATAGCACTATAGAGGCTATTTCACAAAGAATATAAGCTGAGACTTAAAAGATGGGTAGAATTTTAGCAAACAAATACTTAAATAACAAAGTGATACTTGAATATAAAAGAAATTTTCTCATCCGTTAGATCATAAACAAAAGAACAGAGAGAAAGATAAAAACAAAAGCTAGTTAATAGCCCATTTGAATGGAAAGTACTTATTTCTTCATTCTAAAATACTCTTTTCCAGGGAGTTCTGATGGCCTAGTGGCAAGAAGCTGCACTGCAATCCCAGAGGCACGCAGTTCGAATCCACTAGATGCTCTGCTGGAGAAGGAGGGGCAATCTCCTCCTGTGCCAGTCAGATCCGATTTGATGACACACACACACAAAATAATAATAAAATAATAAAAAATAAAATGCTCTTTTCCTAGATGTTTACATGACTCCCTTATCATTTCAGATCTCTACTGAAATATCAGAGATTTTTCCTCATTACACTCTTTAAAATAATAACTTCATATTCCATTTTCACTAAAAGTCAACAGCTAGATTCAGTAAGGGATGAGGACAAAGTCCTAAATGATTACACAATGATAGGAATCTAATTCCCTAGCTGACCTTATGATATACTTTTAAAACAGGAACCATTTCTGTACAGGGCCAGATAGTGATTTTACATTATAGGGATATATGGTTTATTTCAACTATCTAGCCCTACCACTGTAGTGAACATAATCCTCTCTTTCTCTTTAAATTGTACAGGAGGAGTTTGTCTGTCTGTCTTCCCTTGTGGTGGATCTGAATCTCCACAGCACATCTTTTGGGTTAGCAATGCAATGTAAGGACTATATCATCAGACCTACAGACATATCCTAAGAGTATGACTACTCAGAAAAAGGCTAGAATTATTCTGCAGGCCATTATTTACTAACTCATAAGTAAGCAAGCATTGGTCTTTGTTATAAAAGAATAATCTTATAATCCTAAATAATATGCTGACCAGTCATTGTTTACCATCTCTTTTACTCTATTGTATTAAAAAAAAAAAAAACCAAAACAACAAACCACTCTTGTTTTCCTTTAAAATGCATTTTCATGAAGGCAGGGATAGATAGAGAGAACAGAGTAGATAAACTAGGAGATGGACTTGTCTTTGATGCCAAATAAAAAGTCTGAATTCTGCAATGAAAAGACACTGAGTATTCTTGAAAAAAGGAAAATAGTAATGTCAGAGTTGTACTGCTGTTAAGAATCCCACTAAATAAAGAATATTAGAGTAATGTAAGGCAAACCATAAATAGAAGGAAAAGTAGAAAGATTAAGCCATTCATAGAGGGATACATAACTGAAAGATGAACTTTTAAGAAGTTGAAAATTACTGTCTCCAAGATGATTTGCCATTGGGGAGGTGGTCGTGGTATTTTGTGTGTGTGTATATGTGAAGAATTAGTTCTGTTTTAAACACATTAGGTATAATTTGCTGGAAAGAATCAGTTCTTTTATGGATATAAAAAGTATAGCTTGCTCTGGTGGCCTAGTGTCAAGATGCGGTGTTGCAATTCAGAAGGTACATGCAATTCACAAGTCCACGACCTACTCTGAAGAAGGATGGGCAATCTCCTTCAATGAGTTTAACTGCTCTAAAAACCCAACAGAGGGTAAGCTATGCACCAGTGCTGACTCATTACTATACAACAACAACATGAAAATCCAGACTTTAGTCATTAAACCATGATAGGCGTGTGAATTTGAGCACATTAATTTGGTGGCCTAGTGGGTAAGCAGTTACTGATCCAAAGGTGGTACCTCTCTGATGGTTCAAATTCACCAGCTACAATGTAGGAAAATTCATTGGACGGTCACCTAGGAATTAGTTCTGACTCGATGGCAATGAGTTTTAAGTTTTTTTAATGAATCTTGTTAACTTTCAGTTTCCAAATCGGTAAGAGTTATATAAAATGCTCATCGCATAGAGTATGATTAAATGAATTTACACCCACAGCATATAATACAAGCTCTCTTATAACTGGTTACATTTACTAGTAATTATTTTCAAGTGTTAATACTGAGTCCTCACATTTGTTTCCATATGGAGGAAACTGAGCCATGCCTTTCTCTCCCAACCACTGATCACACCTTACAAACGTAATAATTTAAGTAGTAACTGGTGAGCCAAATCCTTTCTTTTCTGATCCATCTGTCTGTAATTCTTTTTCACTGCCTGTAGTGTTGTTTCATTTCTCTAGCAAACAATAATGAAATATGGCCTATGTTGTCTCTCTCATAGTCAACAAATCCATCTAGTTCTGGAGATAGTTATTCAGCCTTTTAAACACAGAAGTAAGTAAGAAAACACTGGCCAAATTATTTCATCAATGTTAAACCAAGCACGTTGATCTTCATCATCTTTTATATCCATTTCTTAACTGGTTTTAAATTTTGTTAGTAAATAGAAATAATATACGTTGGCAATTTATCCTAATGCAGATTAGTCATTTTATCAGCAACTCTTTCTAGAATGTGATGTACATTTTATTACAAATAAATAAGTATATTTCTTACCCTGATTATAATTTGTGCCACATCAAAATCGGAAACATCATCTAAAATTGGTTGGGTATTCTCTGGCCCATAAGCAAGACAGTTAAATAAGGTTTTAGAAAAGAAACCAGGTGAAGGACCACCATGAACCAAGGAAATGGCAAGCATTTTGCCAGCTTCATAGTAAAGATTGTCTTTCAGAGCTGCAAATACAAATGGAAATATATGTAGAACATTTATTATAACAAATTAATAACTTTTAATGAATACACATAAATGAAAACAAAATATATTTAAAAGCTTAGAAAAGTGCAAAGTAACAATTATCAAAAGTGATTACCATGTATAAAATATATTCCTCTGTTGTGATGTTGATTCTGACTCATGGCAATGCTCTTTTGCTGGGACTGTAAATCTTCATCATCTTTAAGAGGACTGAACATAGCATAAACCACCAAGAGAACAGGTCTGTCTTGGAGAGGGTAAAACCAAGTTTCTCCTTGGAGGCAAGGATTTAAAACTCTTGTCTCACATAATTTGGGCATGTGGCCAGGAGAGACCAGTTCTTGGAGAAGGATATCATGCTTGGGAGGGTCGAGAGATAGTGGAAGAAAAGACGATCTGGATAAGATGGAGTGTCACAGTAACTGGGGTAATGGGGATAGGTGTGTTGGAGTCAGTATATTGGCCCAGGATAGGGCAGGCTTCCGAGCTATTGTATATATGATTATTAGGAGTTGTAGGCAAATTGACGGCACATACCACCACCAACAATAAACAAATCTTTACCAAAGGTGATTGTCTCATCTTTCTCCTGCAGAGCAGCTGGTGAATTTGAACCACTGACCTTTAAGTTTGCAGTCCAATTAGAGCCATGCTATCAGGGCTCCTTATACAAAATACAATCTGTTGTAACATATATTAAAAAAAAAAAAAAAAGGTATTTTTTCCTAAATATCTTAGAAAACCTGTTAATACAAATGACCTTTAAAACATCATCTATAATATTACCACCTTAATAATCTTTATACACACTTTAGTATATTTATATCCATGTTGTTGCTGTGTACTGTGGAGTTGGAACCAACTCATAGTTGACATTCCAGAGGGTTTTCAGAGGCAGTTACTCTCACAGGAGGAGACTGCTCATCCTTCTCCCGTGGAGCAGCTGGTGGCCTCAAACCTGTGTGCCTTCAGGACTGCAGCACAGCTTCTTGGCACTAGGCTACCAGAGCTATGTAGTCACATATTATACATATTTTTCTTAAATATAAAATAATATTCTACCTTAGAAAAATGTAAATACAGAAAACCTTAAAAATATCATCTATAATATACCAATGGACTGCTAGGAAAACAAACAGATTTGTCCTGGAAAGGGTTAAACAGGGTGGGTCCTTGGAGGCAAGGATTCTGAGGCTCCGTCTAACATACTTTGGACATGTTGTGAGGAGAGACCGGTCCTTGGAGAAGGACATCATGCTTGGGAGGGTGGAGGGACAGCGCAGGAGAGGAAGGCCCTCTATGAGGTGGATTGATTCAGTGACTGGGATAATTGGGATGGGAGTGTCAGAGACGGTGTGATTTTAGGGCTATTGTACATAGGGTCACTATGAGTCGCAGGCGACTCGACGGCACATAACAACAACAACAACAACATAATACAACCACTTTAACAATCATTACACACACTTTGTTGTTGTTATTGTGTCCTGTCGAGCCAGAACTGATCTTTAGCTGACCCTCCAGCTAAGTTTCAGCGCATTTTCAGAGGCAGTAAATAGCACAGGAAGGAGAGTGCTGATCTTTCTCCAGTGCAGTAGCTGGTGGATGCAAACTGCATCGCTTGATTCTGGCAGCAGAATTCCTTACCACTAAATCACCATATCCAAGCATTTACATGTTGTCATTTTATTTCAGCTTTTTCCTAATTCTTTTTTCCTTACATTTTCACAAATATTTAAATTGATAATTATTCACTATCCTGGCTGAGTAATATTTTGAGCTATGTAATATGCTGTTATATACAGACAAGTATATACCTGACTCACAGCTGACTCTCTAGGGATTTTTTGCAGAGGTTGTAAATCACATGGGAGAAGACTGCCCATTTTTACCCTGTGAAAACAGCTAGTGGATATGAATCACATGCCTTGGGTTGGCAGCGCAGCATCTTATTACTGGGGCACCAGAGCTCCCTGCTCTGTAGTATATTACAATCTATATATTATATTAGATACTGATTGTAACATATTACATAACAGGGAGATCTGGTTGTCAGTCCAAAGGCAATAGTTCAAGTCATGTAGCTCAAATCCAACAGCTATTTTGCAGGAGATAGATTAGCAATCAAAATAAGAATCTGCAAACAAATTTTGATTATAATATATTACACAGAAGGAGTGAGCTCTGGGCCTAGTGGTAAAGCATTATGCTGTTAATCCAAAAGCACACAGTTTAAATCCATGACTTGTTCTCAAGGAAAACGATAGGCAATCTCCTCCAGTGTGATGTACTGTCTCTGAAAACCTAGAGGCCTAGTGATAAGGAGATTCCCTGCCCATCTAAGGCACATGGTTCAAATCCACCAGCTGTTCTGTCAGAAAGATGGGCAATCTCCTCCTGTGCAATTTATTGCCTTGAAAACCTCTTGGAAGGACAGCTATGAGTTTTTTCCAATATGATGACACATAATAATAAAATAAATTTTGTATATATTATATTTGACTATCATGATAGATTAGGGAACATTCTTAAATATGGTTTCAGTGGGTAGAATATATGAATATTTTTAAGATTGTTGATATATATTGCTAATTATTTTCCAGAAAAGTACAGATTATCTTAGCACACTATCAAAACCTTAAACATTTTAAAAATTGTTACTTTAAAATTTTTATGTGGCATCACGATTGGTGGAAGAATCATCAACAATCTGCGTTATGCAGATGACACAACCCTGCTTGCTGAAACTGAGGAGGACCCGAGGCGCTTGCTGCAGAAGATCAAGGACTACAGCCTCCTATATGGACTGAAGCGAAATGTCAAGAAGACAAAGATTCTAACCACTGGGCCAATTGGCAGCATCAGCATGGATGGTGAAGAGATTGAGATATTTAACAGTTTTAATTTACTTGGCTCCACAGTCAACACTCTTGGTAACTGCAGCCAGGAATTCAGGAGACGAATTGCATTGGGAAAGTCAGCTGTGAGGGACCTCTCAAGAGTACTGACGAGCAGCAATGTCAGACTGGAGACTTAGGTGCACCTGATCCGGGCTATAGTCTTCGCAATTATGTGCTATGCATCAGAGAGTTGGACAGTGAATAGGGTTGATAGAAAGAGGATTGATGTCTTTAAGCTGTGGTGCTGGAGAAGAGTGTTGAATATACCATGGACTGCTAGGAGAACAAACAGATTTGTCCTGGAGAGGGTGAAGCCAGAGTGTTCCCTGGAGTCAAGGATTCTGAAACTTCGTCTGACATATTTTGGGCATGTTGCAAGGAGGGACTGGTCCTTGGAGAGGGACATCATGTTTGGCAGAGTGGAGGGGCGGCGAAGGAGAGGAAGACCTTTGGTGAGATGGATTGATTCTGTGACTGGAGCGGTGGGAATAAGTGCGTTTGAGATGGCCAGGTTGGCAGAGGATAGAACAGCATTTAGAGCTCTTGTACATAGGGTCGCTATGAGTCGCAAACGACTCGATGGCACATAACAACAACAAGGTCCAAATGATGTTTAAATTTTATTTTTCCTAATAATTAAAAACAACTAATACTTGCCTTTTAAAAAAATATCTCTACAACAATAACTATTAGAAAACATTAAGTGCTATATATTACAGATGAAGAAACTGAGATCCAGAAAAGTCCTTAATTAAGGACAGAAACTGTATAGATATGGATGTGTACAAACCCAGATTTGAGTGTTTAACTTAAATTCATGCAGTTTACACTGTATCACAGCTGCCTTGAGTTAACATCATTAGTAGAAGAGATTTCTAAATGGAGTTTAGAATTATGCTATGCAGGCTGTGTTTACTATAAAAATAATCCTGGAAATGTCCTCAAGTATTTGGGTGATATTTCATGTAATAGTGATAAAATCTAGGGATTCAAAGAAGGAAATCCAAATAGAATGAAAATTTTTTTACACTATTTTGGATTTTCTACTTCAACAAAGGTGGTACCATAACTGCCAGAAAAGGATCCTACAATTGCAATGAGTTTGAGATCTCTTATGAAATTACATCCTTATCAGTATATAATTGTGTTGAAAAAACAGTTTACAGAACTCTATTTCAGTATTTGTCATGGATGTAACTAGAACATATTGTTAGGAGAATTCTATGTTGTGAAGGAACAAGTAGTCATCTGCAAATTTCAATTATAAGAACAATTCAGAAGTCAAATAATTAACCAACCCATTTAACCACTCTATTAAAATAAAACTAGAGAGTGAATATGAAGTATATTTAAATAAAGTTATACATCATTATAGAAACATTTTAAGAAAGATACTGTACAAATTATAGATATTATTAAATGTTTTATCATATATGTTACTTTATTACAAAATTATTTTCTCCCATTTTCTGTAACTATCAGTATTTTATTAATAATGGTATGTTTAGACTAGAGTTATTGAATATCCATTCTAACCAGTTTTTTTTCTTTACAAATGTTATGTTCAGTAAGTACAATAATAAATGAAATAGTTACCTTGAGTGTTAAGAGATAAGTTCTTTGACAAGGACCCTTCAAACAATGATGAGTTCTCAAGATGTTGCATTAAGAGACTTAGGAATTCTTGCTTTGATCCAGGATGCTCTCTTCCAAAATTATCATTCTCATTTACATATACTACTTCAATTGTAGAGGAAGGATTAAAGTTCTTATTTTTGAATCCATCTAAGGCACTATTCCATACATTGGCCTTGTTGATATAGAATTTTTTAGGTTGCTTTTTAATTTGAAAGCCTAACTCTATTAAAATAGTTGAAATGTCTCTTCTAAATTTGGTGCCTTGCCTATAAAACATGAATTTAAACATATAGGTAAGTACTCTAAAGTACTTTATGTAAAACAGTAGTACACAGAAAAGAAAAAAAAATTAAAAGGAAGTTCTTCCCTAACTCCCACCCAAAAAACAGAACAATCAATTGCTGCCACTGGAACTAAAAAAAAATAGGTGATACCTGTAGTTTTAAATTCTTCATTTCTTCTCTCCAGTTCCAGTTTTCCATTCCAAATTATAATTATCAAATGTCATATAGAGTCCTGGTAGCACACATGGTTAAATACTTGGCACTAATTAAAAGGTCAGCAATTCAAACCCAGCAACCATTCCACTGGAGAAAGATGTGGTAATCTACTTTCATAAAGATTACAGTCTTGGCCAGGCTGTTCTACTCTGACCTCTAAGTGTTATTATGAGTTAGAATCAACTTGGCAACAGGACTTGATTTCTGATTATTGTCATAAATCACTTATGAAAATGTTGCTATCTCAAATTTTATCAATTCAGTAGATTCAGGTTTAAGAGTCAGAATCTCGAAGGGATCTTATCCACAACATCTTTCACAAATCAAATGTAATCTCTACATATTATAAATATGAATTATGATGTTGAGAGATCACAATTTATTTTCACTTACAAAGTTAATGAGGAACACAGTCAATATTAAAGAAGAATCTACAATTCTTAGAATAAAAGATACTTTATTATAAAGAACAGTTTTATGTCTAGATCAGTAAGTCTCACACTTATCTCCAAACTAACAGCAGTAGCAGCAGTATCACCTATTAACTTTTTAGTGACACAAATTCTTTAGCCTCATTTGTAGATTTATAGAATGAGAACCACTGAGTTTTAATAAGACAGCTAGGTAATTCTATGGAGGAGCTCAATTATTCTCTACCTTAGTTTCTCCATCTATAATTGGAATTACCATGCTGATAATAATCTTGTTTTGAACAAAGTTTTTCTGTATCAAGTATAGATTTATCCCATCCCAAGGCATACAATTTCCCCTGGTGAGCTAGATTTTGCCTTTTCTTTCTTCCCATGATCTCTAAATTCATGAACCCTGAAGAAAAAGAAAGTGCTTTGAAAATACAATAATCTTTCAGAAATACACTTTCTTCTAGAAGAGATTCCTTCCTGGTGGCTTGAATCAGGAAGAACTCCAAGGCTACTCTTCCAGAACACAATGGACTGTTAAAATAGGAGCAAGAGAGTCCAAATTTTCCTGATCTAACACTTTGAAAATCTACAATTATTTTTTAAAAACATGAACATTTCGTTTTCATGAATTAACATAAATAGCACTTTAAGTAATTTTTCCACTTTTTAATACAGTTCTTAATATTCTATATCTGTCTGGAAATATAGTTGTCAAGTATTTTCACAATAACTTGTTATCATTTTAATAAGAAACAGTTATCCATGCTTCAACCACTAATATTACTTTTTCCCTTTTTGCTATTGGGTAAAACACGATTCCTAAAACTTTTGCCAAAGTCACATGTATTTAAAAATTTTACTTTATCTGAATAAATACCTATAATTAAAGTGACACTTAGACATTAAATAATAAATTATGCCAAACATTACATAATTTGCCATCTTATGCAGTAAATAAGTAGAAATTAAAATAGTAGTATTTATAAATATTTTAAAACTTAAAGGAAAAACAGAACTGACATTTAGGCAAAGTGACATACATGCCTTATATTTTCATTTTCGGTCTTACTCTGTGTCAAAAAGAATTTAAATGCAGTTTTTCAAATCTATGTTTTGCAAATTGTCTTGAAAATAGTTTACATTAATAAAATCTACTTTATATTCAGTACAGAACCCAATAAAATAACACATATTCCATATTTATATGTGCATATTTAATATATAGTCTTATGTTACTGCACTCTAACATAAGTTATTTCATTTCCTTTTTGCAGTGTTGGTTGCACTGATTTCATGATCAAATTACTGGGTTCTAAAATTTGAATAAAACTATACTATTATATGATCAAGTAATAAGTAATTTTGCTTTATTATTTTCTCAATGTTATTCAAATACATACCACAGGAGCTCTTTTCTTTGGGCTCCTGGAGATTGTTTCAAAAGTTTGGGTGATGACTCTTCCAATAAACAATCACTTATGCCCATGCTATTTGATTTGGGTAGAGCATGTTTTTTGGCTTTCTGGAACTCTCCTGTAGATTTAAACCCCAATATTATCAGTCTAGTGGAAATACAGGTAGAAATTTAAAAAATAGTATGTATTCAAAATGAATCACTACTCAAAATTACAAAATATTACCTGAATTATAGATAATACTTCTACATTCCAAACACTCCCAGTGTTGTTCCCATGATCGTAGTGAAGAACAGGCTAAATGGGTTCCACTAGAACCACAACACTGACAGCGCTTTATTTCCCATTTGCTGAAGAAAAAGAAAAAAGTGCGTTTTCAATCCCAGTACCAACACAGACCCCACACATTAACACACACATACACATAACCAACTCTTTTACTTTAATACTTTTCCCTAAAAGTCTAAACTTCATAGCAATATTAATTTTGTATAATGTATAAACACAAAAATAAACATCAAGAGTAATAGAACTAAATGATTAAGGGAGAGAAAAAGATCTTTGTAATTCTAGATGACTATTCTCACAGGGGGTGCTCTGGTGGCCTAATGATAAAAAGTTGCCCTGCCAACTCAAAGGCAGGTGGTTTGAATCCACCAGCTGCTCTAAAGGAGAAAGATTGGCAATCTCCTACACAATTTACAGCCTCTGAAAGCCCACTGGAGGGTCAGCTATGGCTTTGACTCAATAGCACATATCAACAACATGATTACAGAATGTTGAGAATGTCAGTATATCCACTATGGGAAAAGCTTTTAGTAAATAGATTATTTTATCTAAACTATTCCCAATAATGGTAAGATATATTTCCTAAAATAAGCTTGCTTAGACAACTAAGGTATTGAGTAGCTTACTGGGATCCAGAGTTACTATCTGGCTCTTATATGTATTTCTCTTCTGATCTCTATTTCCATATTTCCCAATGTACTGTGCATGAACGTTCATACTGACATCATCTATTTGAGTATGGACATGGGCTGTGGTGTACCGTACAGCCCTTTCCATGTAGTTCCCCTGTGTGTGCATGTATATGAATGAGTATCTTTTTTTTGAGTTTGTAGATATGTAGATAGGGAGAAAGGTAACTAGATGCCTCCTATAACAAGTATAGGCACACCTCCCTTCCCTCTATAGTAGATATATGATGCTACGTATGTATGCTCAGTGTGTGTGTGTGTGTGTGTGTGTGTGTATGTGTGTCAACCTTATCTTCAGAAAATTTTGTCCAATGATAACAAAGAGTAATATGACAGCTAACCTCAGTAGTTGTCATTCTATAAACAGAGAGGTAAGTATCTTACCAGGCCAAATTCACTGTCTTATAGAGAAGCTTCCAAATCAGTTTATTTTGCTTCAAATCCCCTTTCATACTCAGTAAGTCACATTTCCAACTACTGAAATTGGCAGTTTATTTTGCTTCAAATCCTCATTCTTACTCAGTAAGTCATACTGCCACTTACTGAAATTGCCTGTTAATATGGTAGGAGCTCTGGTGGCATAGGCTGCAGGGAGCTGTGTTGCTTACCCAAAAGTGATACCTCTCTGTTGGTTCGAATTCACCAGGTATTTTTTTAGGATAAAGATAGACTATCTCCTCACATGCAATTCACAAACTTGAAACTCACTGGAGGGTCAACTATAGGTTGGTTCCTACTCTATGGCAATTAGTGAGTGAATGATTAATACAAAGGATACAAAAGAAATATTCAGACACCAGAAATCCATGTAGAAGAAGAAAAGTCATGGACATCAAATTTTAATAGTTTCCAGAAAGGGAATTTTTGTAGCTCTTAGTCGGCTGACCAGTGATTTAAGTTAATTAAGAACTGCCTAAAATGAACATAAAAATATAAGTATTAATGAAAATACAGATTTTCAAATTCTAAGGTGATTTATTAGGGAGTTGGGGTGGCTTAGTGATAAAGAGTTGTGGTACCAACCCAAAGACACATGATTTGAGTCTACCAGCTGCTCAGAAAGAGAACGATGGGCATCTCCTTCCATGAGATTTACTACCTCTGAAAATAACCAGTTAGGTTAGCTATGGGCCGATCCTGACTTGACAGTAAATAACAATAGCAACAACGTGATCTATTATTTATAAAGCACATTTACAAAAATTATCAAGCCTGAACTTCAGCAAAGTCCTTGAAATATTGGTGGCTTCATGTCACAGTTGTGCTGCTAAACCAAAGGCTGCAGCTTGCTGGTGGTTCAAATCCACCAACAGCTCTGACAGAGGAAGATGGGCAATCTTCTCTCATGCAGTTTATAGGCTTTACAAACTCACTAGTGGGTCAGCTATGAGCTGGTTCCTTCTTTATGTGTTTAGGGGTATTTTTCTACTCCAGACTAGAGGAGCCCTGGTGGTATAGCACATAAAGACTGGATGCTAATCAAATGGTAAAGGGTTAAAACTCATCAGCTGTTCTGCTAGAGAAAAATTTTAACAATGTGCTCCTATAAAGACTATAGCCATGGAAATCCTAAAGCACAGAGCCACTCTTTCCTATGGGGTTGATATGATTCAGAATAGACTCATTAGCAATAGGCTTACAAGGTAAGGGGATCATTCTTAACAAAATAATTTACCGTTCAATAGACTTTGACTCCTAAACCCCTATATATGTTTGATTAAACTGGGCTGCATAAGATTTTTGATGACTGATTATGCAGAAGTAGCTTCTTTCTAGGTACCTCTCATGGACTCAGATTGCTAGCCTTTGAGCTTAGTCGTCAAGCTCATAACAATTTGTGACACCCATCATTCCATTAAGATTGTCCAGTCAGCACCCTTTCAGGAGCCATTCCAGTCATCAGTTTACTAAACTCACTTGAAATTATAAAAACAAAATACAGACATTGTTGAATAATTTTTTAAAAAAGTAAAATTCTTTCTCCCTCTCTGTTCTAAAAAAAAAAAAGAGTTGAAAGCCTCAGCTTGCAACATCACAGATGATCCACCCATGTGAACCACAACTCTCAATGTCCTATTGGAGGGTTTGCATTCACCCTGAGTTGTCTTAAAAGGCCTGATAATCTACTTGGAGCGGGGGAAGGCCACTGAAAGCCCTACAGAGCAATTTTACTCTAATCCACATGGTGTTACCATGAGTTAAATTAATTTGATTGTAACTGGCTTGTTTTTTTGAAGGGTAATTAAGCAATATTTAACTGCTAGAAATACCTATCAGGTGCACTATATTCTCGTCCTTCTTTGCAACGACATCGTCGGACATCACAACGCTCATAATGCTGCAAAAGCTCTTGATAAGCATTTTCTTCTAATTCCCAAGATGCATCTCTGTAAATGAATCAAAACACTGAAACATACTTTGATAAAAAATATTACACACAATGATATATAATGAATCTAAAGTAAAAGCCTTTCATAATTAAAAACAAGTATAAAATTTATTCTTTTTAGGATCACTCATTCCCTTTAACATCTAAATCTTAGTGTAATTCTGTCTTACAGTTAATTCTCAGTAAATCTTTAAATGTTTAATAAAAAGTTTCATATCTGTATAAAATTTAAATGTTCTCTAATATTTATTTCCATTGTTTTCTTTTCCTTTTTAGTACCATTATTCCCTGATCCTCATTTTTTGGTATTAAGGAAATTCTTCTCACACATTTATCTTAATTATAAAATTTTACAACCTATTTCAAAGTCTTTTATTAATGTGTGAAGATCTAGTAACAATCTGCATTATGCAGATGATACAACCCTATTTGCTGAAACTGAAGAGGACCAGAAATGCTTGCTGCAGAGGGTCAAGGACTGCAGCTTTCAGTATGGATTGAGGCTCAGTGTCAAGAAGACAAAGATTCTCACCACTGGACTAATTGGCAGCAGCATCAGGATGGATGGCGAAGATTGAGATTGTTCACAGCTTCAGTTTGCTCGGCTCCACAGTCAACACTCTTGGCACCAGCAGCCAGGAAATCAATAAACATATTGCGATGGGAAAGTCTGGTGTAAGGGAGCTCTCCAGGGTACTGAAGAGCAATGGTGTCACTCTGGAGACTAAGGTGCCTCTGATACAGGCTATGGTCTTTGCAATCACTTGTTATGCATCAGAGAGTTGGACAATGACTAAGGAGGATAGAAGGAGAACTGATGCTTTTGAGCTGTGGTGCTGGAGAAGAGTATTGAGGGTTCCATGGACTGCTAGGAAAACAAACAGATTCATCCTGGAGAGGGTTAAACCAGGCTGCTCCTTGGAGGCAAGGATTCTGGGGCTTCGTTTGACATACTTTGGACATGTTGTAAGGAGAGACCAGTCCTTGGAGAGGGACATCAGTCTTGAGAGGGTGGAGGGGAGACACAGGAGGGGAAGTCCCTCTATGAGGTGGATTGATTCAGTGACTGGGATAATCGGGATGGGCATGTCAGAGGCAGTGCGACTGGCACAGGATAGAGCAGGGTTTAGGGCTGTTGTACCTAGGGTCGCTATGAGTTGCAAGCAACTCGACGGCATACAACAACAACAATATTATTAATGTGTAAAATTATGCACTGCTATTTATTAAGAGACTATAAGTCAATTCCTAAAAGAGTAAGCTTACAACCATTAAAAAACAAGCAAGAACTAGTTCTTATACAAGAATTAGTAGTCTAGGGACTCAGGAAATCTTTAAATGTCATCTTTTGAAATGGTTCTGTTCATGATTACTTAATCAAACATTAGTGACTGTTTTCTCTGTTAACAAAGCAGATGGGGGAAAGTTAACTTACTTTTCAGGAATATAAATTCCCATTCTTAGCATCTCCTCTTGAAATATATCACTATTGTTGCATACTGTGCACCGAAAGAAAAACATTCCTGCGTTTATTGCTTGAGCCTACAGTGGAAAACAGTCCGTAGTCAAAATTATCAGGTTATAGATTAAGTAACTAAAAACAAAACCCACATGCTATTACTCACTTAACATATTAAATAGAAACATTTCTTGTATCAGGAATACTCGAACTTTGTTTTTTAAAATGGCTAAAATTTGGAGAACTTTTCTCCTAATGGAAAAAACAAAGCAAACCCTGTAACATTTTGAATTGTTCAATATATATTTTAGGAAAGTAAATTTATGAGGGAGCTTTGGTGTCCTAGTCTGTAGGGAGCTGCAATGCTAATCCACATGCAGTATGTGTTTCTGCTTGTTGAATCCATTAGCAATATTAATTTTAATAATATTAATAAAATGCAGAAAGCAATTAAAATTTTAATTCCATAAAAAAATTATATCTTACCTGTAAACAGTCTCTGTGAAACCAGGCATTCTTACAACAAGGACTTCGTAATATATTATAAGTTGGAATAGGCTCAATGAATTCCAAACAAATAGTACATGGCAAGGAATCTCTATAACTATTAGGTGGAATTATTTGAACAGGTCGATGGTCCCAACAAAATGATCTGAAAATGCAGTGATTTAAAAACATGTCTACAAATTAGAACAAGCACAAGTAGGCTGAACAACTGAAATTCATATATTGAAGAGAAAAATTCCCTCTTTTCCATCTCATTAATAAGTCTATAGTAGTCTGGTGCCTTGTTGCTAATAAATCAGGTTCACAATTTAGGATCAAGGATGCAAAAAATGTTAGATCTTAAAAATGTGAACTTAAATCTTCTAAATAGCAGCAAATTAGGGGGCTATAGTGACTCAATGGTAAGGAGTAGCACTGCCAATCCAAAGGTAGGCAGTTTGAATACACCAGGTGCTCCATAGAAGAAAGATGGGCAATTTTCTCCCATGCAATTTAGTGCCTTTGAAAAACAGTCTAAGGGTCAACTCTGAGTTGGTTCCACCTCAATGGAATGTTACACAATAACAAGCAGACTGTTAGGAAAGTTATGGTGGCCTAGAGGATTAAGCTACCAACCCAATGACAGGTGGTACTAACCCCCTAGCTACTCAGTGGAAGATGAACAATCTACTCCTGGGAAATTTACAGTTTCTGAGAACTCATTGAAGAGCCAGGTTCCTACTTGATGACACAGAACAACAACCGTATTATGTTTAGAATTTTGTGCAATTATCATTAGCAACTGAGTACGTATACTATTGTATTCAACAGTGTATAAAATTAAAGATGGGAATCATCATTTAAAAATACCAATTTTAAAAACTATTTTAATCATATAATAAAACATCTTCATTTTTCCAAATCACTAAATCTATTTCTCTTTATATTTCCCAAAATGCACTTTAATTACATGACACCAATTCTGTGGTGTCAAGGATTTACTGTTCAAAATGGCTTTTCTAGCCACTGATTAACTTTGATAAATTGATGGGCAGTAAATCACAAACAGGGTGTGTTAGTCTATCCACAAGGGTATTGGCTAGTCTTGCCATTAAATTGAGCAGATTCAGTAGTAGAAATAAGGAATCTCACATTCACAAGGAAGAGGAAGAAGCACATATAGTTTGAGCAAGAGATTCTGGTGTGAGCCAGACCAGGATCTGCACAAAATGAGTAACAGCCTCAGCAGAGTACCAGAGACTGGCAGGCAACAGAGCTGACTTGGGGCTGCTGCCTCACAGAGCCAGAGGCAGAAACGTTCACCCAGGCTTACTGGAGGACTAACGGAACACATCACAACCAGCAGGACTAACGGAACTTTGCAACACTGACCCAAGATGTGTGGCTGAAGGAGCTACAATCACACTTGAGAAGCTGTATGGACTGAGGCACTAAATCTTGAAGTCAATTGAATTATCGCCTGTAACTTCTTCAATAAACTCCATAACCATGAGTATGGTTCTGTGCAGTCTGTGTGGTAACTGCAACAAATTCTGGAACCAGATAAGCAGTAATATTGGTGTCAGAATTAGCAGCAGTAGTGGAGGAACAGGGGAGACCACATGACACCTTCTAGGAGTTAGTCTTGTATTGTGGATATTGTTCCTTTGTAGAGTTAAAAGTAGTCAGACTCGGCCATCCCTATACACTCTTAACAAATTTATCTTTGTGTCAGGACAAGAAAAGGAAAAAAACTCTAATAATAAATGCCAAAATTCAGAAATCTTGAAAAGTTGGACTCTGGAAAAAAGTAATCAGGGCACTCAAAGGAATGATGCTTATTATTTTAAGACTGATCTAAGTTTATATGCCTTGAATTTATTCAGGTGACAATCAATGGGCCAAATGAAAGAAAAGTATGCTATTAATTCTAAAGAATGACAGAAATATTGTTATATTAAGGTTATGAATCTTTACTGCAAACAGATAAATTAATAGTGTTTTATATCCTAGAGCATAATGCTGAATGTGAATATTAATTATAAGGCTCATTCCAGATGTGACACTTTACAAAATTACACAGATCCTGAAATAACTACATAAAATAAAGAATATTAACAAAGATTCAACTCCTATTATAATCAATGAAAACTACCTAAAAGTATACATATATTGTACATGAATAAAAAAGAAATTTCACAAGAAAATTAGATCACTGTTATATCCATTTCCCAATGCTCCTTCACAACATTAATTTTTCATATTCAATAATTACTCACTCAAAACTGCCAGTAAATTGGAAAATACATTCTCTCTGAAGTCCACATGGAAAATGATAACTTCGTTTACATCGAGGTGCAACACATCCAATTGAAGCCCTATTTTTCTTGCAAACACAGCATTTCTAGGAAAAAATGAAAATAAGAGGTAAAATGAGATAAGGTGAGTAAGAATAAGGAAGGAAGTGAAAGTCAGTATTGTTATGTGTGATATTCAGAGTCAGTTAAGTTCTCATACAAATGAAATATAAAATCAAAGATATATTTTTAGAGGAAATCTGATAGAAAAGATTTTCCAAATATTGACTGTATTTGCAATATTCAGTTTGGTAAACTTTTCTTACCAGTTTAGAAGCTCTATTCACTTCCTTCCTGATATCTTCTATTAGAAAACCATACACTCCTTCTTCTTCTTTACCTCTTTGCCAAATTCCACTGGACATCAACTGTGAAAATAGAATAGCTGTGTAATAATAATACATACCTATAATACTAAAATATAAAACAAATAAAAATGTCAATCACCTCTTATCTATAATAGCTATTTTATACAATCAATGTAAATGGATACACATAATCTTTGATTCAGAAAATACTACACATTCATATTTCACACAACCAAACTCATTTCTGAAAGTATGCCTGGAAGTAAAAGACAAAGGAAGGAAGCTGAGGGAAAAGAAAGGTAGATAGGATGGGTATCTGCAATTAAATTTAGAAAAGAGGAGTGGCTGAGGTACATATAGAGGTACAGCAGCCATGTGCCTCCACATGGCCATGATCCTCAACAAGGGCCACAAGTAACCAAGAATTGAGCAATCAGAAGCACAGCCACCACCGCTGGGCATCTGCCAAGCACACCAAGTTTGGGCTGGACATGATCGGGGAGGTATGTGACTGCACCCTGGGGCATCGCGCCATGGAGCTGCTCAAGATCATCAAGGGCAAGCAGGCCCTCAAGTTCATCAAGAAAAGAGCAGAGACACACATTTCACCAAAAGGAAGCAAGAAGAACTCAGCAATGTCTTAGCAGCCATTAGGAAAGTGGCTCCCCAGAAGGGCTGAGTATGTCCCCACTATCTATCAAATCCCTCACCCATGTGACAAAATAAAATGTAATAAACAAACAAACAAATAAACACAAAAGTAGTAAATACAGAGTGTTAAAAATGTAATGATAGAATACCATGAATGTAAACTATTAGGCTAAATGAATCTACTCGGATACACTATTTAAAAGATGTATTAACAGAGAAATCTACTGAAATGTACTTATAGCATAAAGATTTCATTTGCTTTAATCTAATTTATACTTTTACCATTTCAATACATTAAGGGGGCATGAGCTAAAATAAAAAGCAAGCATTATATTTTATGCAAATAGTAAGCATATTACATAGTTTTACATACTGAGCAACCTATGTGTTCACACTTGTGGTACACTAACATTTTAACAAGGTATTTAATTGTTCCCCCTTTTTAATGAATGTAATATTAAGGCCTAGTTTTCCATGTTTATTGCTGTGGAAATTTAATTCTCAGCAGCAGCCCTTTATCAGCCTACCATTAAATTTCTGAAACAGCTCCTCCAAGCATGATTACTTTCCTGCTTTGCAAACCACTTTCTGCTCTAAAATAGCCCAGGAAGTATTGGATTTGTAATAGATAAAATAAAATGGCATCATTGCCGCTAGAATTTCTACTTCTCAGATAAAGCCCTTTCCCTAGTTCCAGCCTGCTCAACTACTAATGGAAAGCTGAACTGGCAGAAACCAAGATGTTCCAGGAATACCACAGAAAATGAGCTGACCTAAGACTACACCTGAAAGATAAGAAAAAAGGTACTAACAGAATACTACCCAACCAAGACTTCATGTGAAGATCTGCTGAACACACCAACAATCTCTTTATATAAATCTCCCACTAACAGCAAAAGAAGCTGACTTCAAATTTGAAAGCTCATCACATTTGCATCCAGGGGAAAATAAACTCACTTAACTGCTTCACACATTAAGTCTTGCCTGGTTGATCTGAGTACTCCCGGTCTGACTCCAGACTCACTTCCTCTTCTTTAAACCTTTTAATTTATACAAGCCAGAAAGGAATATTTAAGCACACTGTAGCCATGTGCATTTCACCCTGACTCCTGGCTAGCTGGTTACCTTGCTTGGACTGCTTGAATCTCCAATTGCTTGCAGAGCAGGATGAGTGTGAAAGCTGCAGATGTAAAGGTATAACTAGTCACAAGTCCCTTACTAAGACAGGCCCAACTGACCACTCAGAGACACAAAACCCGAGCACTGTGTGCCTGCGCCTGCCACTTGGTTTCACCAAAGGCCAGCATCACATTTCCTGGGCATGTGGGAATCAGTTCCCACCAACTTCTAGATCAACCAGACCTCAGATGATGACAGCCATACATGTAGCCTGCCACCCAACCAACCACTTTTCTCTGGTACAACATACCTAGATGCAAATCAGCTAAAGGAACACCATCATTCTGAAGTCCAGCTGTTAATTGCCAAGCAAATGTACACGGGTGTAACTATTTGCCAATTACCAGGTTCAACCAAATTTGATCCATGATTTCTTCACCATATCTTATACTTTCATTATATAAATATGATCAAAAGTAACATATTTGGACTATTGAATAAGACTGAAATTCACTTCTGGAAATATCAAGGAACATGTATGATGTATTATTGGCATGCTGTATCAGAAGATTTTCTTTACATAACTTTGTAATTTCTATATATTTTTAAATAAAATTTTTTATTTTAATTGTGATTTTACCGAAAGTTTACAGAAAAATTAGACTTTCATTCATTAATTGTTGCACATTTTACCCCCTCCCCCAGTTCACTTGTTTTTTTTAAATATTGATTCATTTCTGTAAAATTTCCTCCTTCCCCTGAGTCCTCTTTGCTATGTATCTTTTATTCTGGGCTGTTGTCATATGTATAATGCCTAATCATATATTCCTTTTAAACATTGTTTTCCTTGATATATTAAAATGCAATGTTCATTATCTAGCCACTCTTATCCTATTCTCTTCCCAGTCCCCAATATCAGACCTGCTTTATAATAGTGGTGCTATGCAGTATTTGTCCTTTTGTGACTGAGATATTTCACTCAGCATAATGTATGTCAGGGTCACCCATGCTGTGTAATGTTTTATGAGTTCATTGTTTTTCAGTGCTGCATAGTACTCCACTGACTTAATATATCCTAGTTTTTTAAAACTAGTTTATTTATAAAATTCTAATACAAATTTGGACAAATACTTTCAATTTCCCTCACTGCTCCACCCAACAAATTGTACAATCCAATGATTAATCCTCCCTTCCCCCTGTACATCCACATCTCTCTGCTTCCAAACTCTCCCTGGATCTCCTGGATCCTTGTACTCATTCTACAACAATTTTATACAATATTTAACCTTCTGAGACTGAGTTAGTTCACTTAGTGATGCTCTCCAGTCCCTCCCGTTAGGTAATAATTTACAAAGTTATTACTCCTGTGTTGCTGCATAGTATTCCATTGTTTGAATGTAACATAATTTTTCAATCCATTCATTTGTAGTTGGATATATGGGCTGTTTCCATGTTCTTGCAATAGTGAATCATGCTGCTATGCACACTGGTGTACAAATCTCAGTTTATGCCTCAGTTCTCATTTTCTCAGGGTATATTACAAGTAGTGGAATAGCTAGGTCATATGGAATTTCTACAGTCAGCTTTTTTGGGGAAGTGCCAAACTGCCTTTGAGAGTGGTTACACCATTTTACAATTCCACCAACAATGTATAAGAATTCCTTTCTCACCACATCCTCTCCAACATCTATTACTTTCCACCCTGTTAAATTTTGCCACTCTTACTGGAGTGAGGTGGTACTTCATTGTGGTTTTGATTTGCATCTCTCTTATTGCCAGTTATTTGGAGCATTTCTTCATGTGTCTGCTTGCCTTTGAATATCTTCCTCTGTGAAAATTCTTTCCCTGTCTTTTGCCTATTTTGTAATTGGGTTATCAATTTTTTTCTTGTGGAGGCCCAGGAGTATTCTGTAAACTTTTGTTAAAAGACTCTTGTCTGATATGGTATTACCAAATATTTGTTCCCAGTCAGTAGGTTTTCTTTTCACCCTGTTGGGAAGTTTTTGATGTGTACAGAGATTTCATCTTTAGAAGGTCCCATGCATCAATTTTATCCTCTTTAGATTGTGCATTTCTGGTTTTATGTGGCAGTCTCTTTATACCTTGAACTAGTGCGTCTAAGCTTGATCCCAGTTTGTCTTTTACGAACATTATGGTTTTGGGCTTTACTCCCAGGTCTCGGATCCACTTTGAGTTGATTTTTGGGTATGGTGTGAGATGTGGATCCTGTTTCAGCTTTCTGCAGGTGGAAGTCCAGTCTTGCCAGCACCATTTGTTGAAGAGGTTGTCATTTCCCCATGTGATAGCTTTGATTTCCTTTTCCATTATCAATTGACCATAGATAGCTTGGTCTATTTCTGGGCTCTCAATTCTGTTCCATTGATCTACGTGCTTGTCATTGTACCAGTACCATACTGTTTTGCTTACTGCTGTGTAGTAGGTTTTGAGGTCAGGGAGTGCTGTGCCTCCAACCTCATTTTTGTTTCTCAGAAGTGTTTTGCTTATTCAGGGTCTCTGTTCTCTCCAAATAAATATGATAATTTCCCTTTCAATCTCCTTGAAAAAGGAATTTGGTATCTGGATTGGGGTTGCATTGAACATGTAAATTACCTTTGGTAGGATTGTTATTTACACCATATTAAGTCTTCCTATCCATGAACAGGGCACATTTTTCTAATTCTTTCGGTCTTTTATTGTGTCTTTCAGAAGTGCTCTGTAGTTTAGTTTTCTTTGTATAGGTTTCTTCTATCTCTAGTTATGTTCACTCCCAAGTATCTCAATTTGTGGTTGGCTATTATAAATGATATTGCTTTCTTTATTTTTGTCTCTGAGTTCTCTTTGTTACTGTAGAGGAATCCTACTGATTTTTGGTTACTGATCTTATATCCTGCTACTCTACTAAATTGGCCTATTAACTCTAAGAGCTTGGTGGTTTTTTTTGTTGTTGAGTCATTGGGGTTTTCTGTGTACACTATCATATCATCTGCATATAATGACAGTTTAACCATTTCTTTGCCCATCTGGATGCCTTTTATTTCCTTCTCTTGTCATACTTCCCTAGCAAGCATTTCCAATACAATATTGAAAAGAAGTGGTGACAGTGGGCATCCTTGTCTGGTCCCTGTTTGCAAAGAAAATGTTTTTACTCCTTCTCCATTGAGAATTATGTTGGCTCTTGTTCTAGGGAATTTCTGCCTATTTTGTGGGTATTTGTGTTGGTCAAATAATAAGCCATTTACATAAAAATAAGAACATTTAACTAGATTGTTACAAAACCTCTTTCAGTTCTG